TAAAATGAAGATGCTACCTATGCTTCTCACTAAACAAATGGGTGCTCTCCCTTCACTCAGAGATGATTTCAGGGAGTGCCGAAAGGAAGGATCAGCATTTCTTTCATTCTGAGCACAGCTAACACTCAAAAGATTCCAGTGATCAAGAAGAATCACAATTATAATGGTTTCTGCTTAGAAATATTCCAAAATAGAGCAATCATCCAGAATAGCAAATGAAAAAATCTCAGATACACACTATGAATAACAAAATGAAATCCATTGGAACTCTGAAAGAAACTAAAGTAAGGAGAAAATTATCATTTTCTGTAAAATTAAAAATATTCTTCTGTAGAAAGTGGATTTCAGGCTAGAGGTGGCCTGAGGGCCTTTTACTCACCAGCCTTCTGTAGGTACTGACAGGTGAAGAAAGGATTCTGAAGCTAAAATATTTAAGCCACTGGTCAGTCTTAACATTGCTTCCAAGAGAAGCATTTCCGAAAAATTTCTCCCAAATTTGTTCCATGTGCTACCATTGAGCTCAACCAGGTTGTATGTAAGTAAATCTTACAAATATTTTTCCATATAAAATGACATAACTATCCCTAAAAAGATGGTCCATGGGAAAACAGTTCTAAATAAGATTCTTGTCACTGCTGCCTGATGATACTCAGGTCTCCAGAGAAAAGCATTCTGCTTGGAGAATAAATTCCACAATCAGAATGTAATACTGCAGTGTATCCCTTGTCAGGGATATGTATTAAAACATCATATGAATTCATCAGGGAGCCAAATGAAAATGAGAAAGGAAAACTTCAGTATATGAGAGCACAGAAATTGAGGAAGACTTTCCTTCCATTTTTAATTCCTGTCTGTGTGAAAAATTTTACATGATTGCAATTATAAATAAAAAGAAATTGTTTCTCACTTAACCCTTTTCTAGGTTTCCAAAAAGTTTTAACTTATGTGTAGTGACAATGACACAATATTTCACTGTGAAGATTGTACTAAAGCATGCTCTGGATCGGAGAAGGGTAGCTAGGATGGTTATCCCCAAGAGAGGGATTGTTCTATGATGCTGAGAAGCCAAGGGCTGGAGATATTTGCCAAAAAGAGAGAAAAGGGAACACAGATACCAAAGAATCTTTCTTCTCTGGATGCTGACATAGCTGTTCATCCTTGACAAAGTTAAGATTATCTGGAAGTGGGGAATTTTAACGGAGAGTACAAATGGCACTATCATTTGATGCACAATTTCTCTTACTGAACATCTTCATCAGACTCCAAGGGATGGGAGAGGAGGACAGTTCTCCAGAAAATAAAAGAAAAGTTTACAGCTTGCGGCACTATGTGTAAGGTACTTATCACCATGCTTGACATATGGTCTATATTTCTTGACATCATCATATCCAGAATGCTAAATAATAAATCCTACTATATTTCCCAGTCCTATTTGCTTCCATTTTCGTACTAAGCTACTCAAAATTCCTAGAGGCTTATAACAAGGCCTTTGGGGTTGGAAGTCCTTTACCTTCCAAACAGAGCTCTTCTCTTTATGAAAAAGTTCTGTGTTATCTGCTTCTCATTGTCTGGTTGGATTAAAGCAACATCCACTTGTTCCTGGGTGGCTGACCTCTTCTCTAGTTTGGGATGAGATTTCTTATCCCAAGTAACATCTCTGTCAGAGTTTTTTTATCCACTTCTTTCTCATGCCTCTACTTCTATTTTGGACTGGTCTGAAACATAAGGAAGTCTTGGCCATTGTTGAGAATTGAGGAGAATTTAAAAGGTCATGGCATCAGTGGCTTTCTGCCCACTACGGTAAATAATGTTTATTTCCTTAGATTCACTTCTTACTCCTTGACGTAGATCTGCCCAGTGAGTTCATATCACACCACTTTCTTCTGACCCAACTACATGAACAAAGAGAGCCTGGCTCTTTTTTCCTCCATCACTGGTTCTACTATAATTACAGCAACTGTTCATGGCCGTGCAAGGACACTCCCAAGGGATGCAATTCTGAGCTTGGCTCAAGCAACGCTAAGAGCAGGATGCACCCAGAGGAAGAGCACGTCTCTGCCAAGTACAAAAACAGAATGTGTGTTTGTGTAGCCCCATTGCTTGTTACTTGATAGGAAAAGTGCATGCTTTTTCAGAGGATGCCTTAGCATTAGGGGAAATGTCTACCTTTTCTTTAAATTTCCCTGGATGAAATTTGTGGGGCAATTTTAACAAGGCTATACTTTAAAGCTGTGTGTAGGAGGATCATGCATACATCATTACACTTAGCAGTATTCATTCATCACTCCCACTCTATACTTCTAACTTCTCTCCAAGACAGCAATGATTTTGCAGATAGTTAATTTAAAAATACTTACATTTTATACTATGCTTACTACAACTGATGAAACATATAATCACTGTCAGTAGAAATATCTTTAGGTACATAAATTCAATACTAATGCTGCATTTTTACAAATCTATGTATATATCATGGCTAAAGACGTAATGTCTATCAATGACATTCACAGTAGAAAATAACATTTAAGGTCTTGAAAACTGTGTTTTTATTCATCCTTCCGTATTCTAAAGTCTTGGCTTAATGCTCACTTCAACTCCACAGTAAGAGAAAGCAGCTACTCACACTTCCTGATATACTACAATGTCACTGTTTTTCTATTATCTAAGCCCCACTCTCAAAGGGAAAAAAGATTTACTATTATTTTGATGTTTAAGAAACTAAACTTGGATGTTGTTTAAAAAAAACTGTATCATCTTCCAACTATAACAAACACAACTTAACTTCTCTTTATTACATAGGATGTTCAAAAAAAGACAACAGACTTGAAATTGGGAGGACTGGGTTCATTAACTGGGTAAAATAAACACTGAGCGAATGATCTCAGTTAAGTCACTACAACCCCCTAACCTTGGGGTTTTCAAATGGGATCACCACACTTCTAGGAGCTGTTTTTAAAATTAAGTTGAACTCACATATTAGGTGCCCAGTAATGTGTCCTGGATTTTCAGAAAGTGTTCCATCTGATGTCATCCCCCCTTCCTGCCCTGTAAGAACCCAATTTCAACAGATGTAAGCTCAGCATCTCTGTGTGAATGCAGTCAGCATGGGTCTCTGGTCTCTAGAGAGAATAAATGCAGCTCCAGGTATAGACCTTACTTTTTCTCATCAAAGCAAAATTTTGAGAATGGGAGGTTAGGTAATGAGATATGGCTACTCTGCAAACTCCAACTCCTCTGTCTTCCTAAGCAATTTTTCTTACCCTTCCAAAAGGCACATCCCTTTCTGCTATTTTCAGTTCATATTTCAGAGATCCTTTATGACACATTCCTTCATTCTGAAGGAAACTGTAAAGCAATCAAGACCAGCATAAGACAGCCTCTTATATCTATGTGTATCTTAACACAGCCTTCTCAGCCATTTTGTGCACTTGTGTTTACCAATAATTTAAATATGCCATACAACCTACAGTCTCTAAGCTTAAATCATTTAGTTGTTGATGTAGCTAAGAACAGAAACTACTTAAGTAGTTTTATCAAAAAAGAATATTTACTATTTCATTCCACTGAAGTCACTATGGATTGTCAATCTCATTCTAAAGATGGTTAAATGCGGTTGTGACTGTTGTTCAGATATTAAGAGAGAAATATACACAAGGAACAATTTAGAGATGGTATATTTCTTTATATCTGTAAACAACAGGCATAAAATACATATTTTAGGAAATATATTAGGAAAATGTTTGGCAACTCATTTTACTAAGAAAATATTTGGCTACTTTGTCTACAAAAACTGCCTGTCTTAATATTCCAAGGCATGAGATTTGGCTGGGTTGATCCTGTATTTGCGGTCTATCATTCTTTTCCTTCTTGTTGTACCTTCTGTTAATGTATGGCTTTTCTCTTTTCTCTTTATTGTCTTTCGAGAGTTCCCTCAATTACTCTATTACACATATTTCAAACTCTACTAGCTCCAGAAAAGAAACTGGGAGATGTCATATATTTTCATAAACTTCTACAGAAAATTCAGAGGAAAAGTGAACTCACACACATTCATGACTCAAATGCCTTCTCCTCTGTGATATTTTGCACTGGTGGTCCCAGGTGATCATCCCTCTTTTCCCCCACTGTGTTTTGTACCCTGCTTCTGTCATAACCCTACGCCAGTGATGACGTGAGCTATGATTTGCTTGTCAATTTTACCAGGATATGAGTGTCAAGAGAAGAGGTGGTTATTTTACCATAGAAGATACTGAACCCAAGTTAGATGAAATGGAATTAAAGGACATTTTGTAAAAACACAGTCTGAATCTTGTTTGATTTAATAAACTACAGTAGTTAACAAATGTAAATGGATGTCCTTTAGAGATTCTTGTGAATCCTTTAATAATTTTCATGGTTAAAAAAAAATTAGGATTTCCAACTATCACATTTTAGTCTAAAGGCCTTAGATTATGACTCTGAGACAAGAGAACAGGGTGCCAAGATGCTAGGCATGGTTTCCTGAGGCTTTTAAAATTGTTTCGGTCTTAGGGTTTTTTTTTTAAATTTGTGTTTTGTTTTGCAATGTTGAAGATAAAACCTAGGACCTAGCACATGCTAGGCAAGTGTCATACCACTGAGCTACATGCTCAACCCTGATTCAGCCTTGTTTTTAAGACAATAAAGCCATGATTGAGTGACTGAGCTTAAGTGAAAACAAAGAGAATCCAAGCAAAGACTCAACTCTTTTCCTTATGATAGTTCATTAGGGTAGTATAAAAATTGCACTAGTGACCATGGAGTTAAGATTAAAACACTATGTTCAATTAGACCCATTTAGAAATCAGATTGCTCTACTTCCCTCTGTACCACTTTAGTTGTAAAATTAAGTAGATGTGAAACTTTTTTAACACTAAAACGAGTAATAAGAAAAACAGCTGAATCTCATACCTCCAGGATAATCTTCTCTACTTCGGTACAGTTAAAATGTAAAGCCTCTTAGGTTACATTGGGTGCCATACCTGTCCTGTGTATGCAAACTCCAGGGCCTCCTTTAAACCAAGGCTGGTCACACCATGTAAATTCACCTCATCAGCTCCACTTTCTACCATACAAAGGCTGAACATTGCCTGAGGTGGGGAAGGAAAGAAAAAAAGATGGAATTATGGAACTTAAAAAGCAAAGAGGTAAGGTAATGTCCTAGAAAGACCAGGAAAGAGTTTTACAGATTACAGATTGATTCTGACTCTGAAATGCTTCTAAAAAGCTTCATTCACACAAGCCACTGTAAATTATTTTGATACCTAAATAGTTACCGTAACAATGCACATGGTACCTACCACATTCCTCACACTCACAATCTCATTTGAGGCAGCTGGGTTTAGGCTCACTAAACTCTTTCTCTCACCAAAGTTTCTATTTTATTATTAGTTGTTAATCTCCTTCTGTAACAAATTTATAAATTAAACTTTATCACAGTTACATACAACAAAAAATACAATATAGAGGGTTTGGTACTAGGCATATACTAGGAGGTTTTGGAACATATTCTTCACAGATATGAGAGGAATCATTATTATACAAATGAAATGAAATCAGTATCCCAAAGACAGCTCTGCACACACTCATGTTCACTGCAGGATTATTTATAGTAGTCAAGATAAAGAAATAATGCAAATATTCATCAGATGAGGGGATAAAGAAACTGTGGGTAAAGTGTATACATATATTTAAAAAGGAAAATTATTCAACCTAGAAAAAAAAAAGGAAATCCTGTATTTTTAAGAGCATGGATGAACCCAGAGGATATTAGGTAAAATAACCCAGACACGGACAAACATTGAATAATCTCACACATACTTGCAATCTGTAATAGCCAAACTCAGATTCAGGGGGCAGAATGGTCCTTGCATAGGACTTGGAGGAGAAAGAAATGGGGAGATGTCAGTCAGGGTACAAAAAGTATAAAGTTTCAGTTGTGCAAGATGAATGAGTTCTGGAGACCTGATGTACAGCAGTGTGACCACAGCTAACAATATTGTTCTGTATACTTAAAAGGAAAAAGGAAAATAAATAATAGTTACATGTGGTGAATATGTTAATTAGCCTGTGATTATTTCATAACATATACATATATGAAAAGCTCAAGATAGACACTTGAAATATATACATAATTTTGTCAGTTATATAATAAAAAAGCTGAAAAGAAAGAAGTTTGGATTTGAAGTCACATAATCCCCAGTGCAGTGGGGCAGAAAGACCAAACTTATAACTAAATAGATCTGGGTTAGTCACTGGAAAGTGACTTTAGCCAAGCACTTAATTCTCTGAGTTAGCTTTCTTATCTAAAAAGTGGGGCTATGGGGTGGGGATTTAGCTCAGTGGTTTCGCCGCTTGCTGCGCAAGCACAAGGACCCAAGTTCGATCCCTGGTACCAAAAAAAGAAAAAATAAAACAATAAATAAAAAATGGGGCTAAAATTACACCCACTTCATAAACTTCTTTGAGGATTATATGATAGCACACATAAAATATTCAGTATAGTATCTGGCAGGCTCTTAGTAAAATTTATTTTTTTAATAACAACAAAATGAAGTATCTTTTATAAACTCCCTGGAAATCAAATGTGGCTATAGATTTTAAAATGCTAACATGAAACTGACTTAGAGTTAAGTGGATTCTGCTTATGCATTTGTAGAAGACGGTCTGAAATTCCAAAGTAAAAAAAGTAGGAGTTACAAATTTAAACATTTTTTGATTTGAATAATTATGGATTTGTTTCTACACTTCTTATCACCATTTTGAAAAAAAAAAAAACTCAAGGAGATTTCAGTATTTTCAATGTCTGCTTTTTATTATGTGGAGGCTACGTTTTTAATATTCCTTACACTAATTTCTTTTGTCAGATCTTTGTATTTGTAATTGCACCTAATATGGTGGCCAGCTGCTCTCCATTTGTCCATTATGGAGAGCTGGACAGAAATGGCTTAAATTGCAGAAGAATTATCTGAATTAATGAAATGGAAAAACTTCCTGAGAGCAAAGGATAAAACAAACAAAACAGGCTGCCATGCAAGTTTTATAAATCTGCTTTCCTGGGTCTTTCAAAAGTAACCAGTATAATACTGGCATAGAACAGGGATCTTCAATTAGAGAGTTATGAGCCACTCAACTTGAAGCCTGGCTTTGCATTACTGAGGAAAAACATAATTCCTTAAATAATGAGGCTAGACACAATTCCTTAAACAATGTATATCTGTATTTGCACATGTTTGCATAAGCAAATTGATACTTTGTATATAATATCAATTATACCATAATTAATGTTTCTATAGTTACAGTATTATAAGGTCTGATTGAAGAAGAATCTTAATTTTATCCCATTTTTAGAAATATTATTTGGATCATATACAATGAACATGTATCACTTGTATATTAGAATATTTCAAATATCTGCTTTTTAAAAACTTTTTTTTAACCTTTAAAGTTCAGAACTGTGCAACAAGAGACATCTGATTCAAATTTTAATTCTATAACCTCCTGGCCTTGTAGAGAGCTTACCTTGTATATATGACCACTGGCTAATTTGTTAAACCCTCTGCACCTTGGAGAGCTGTCTTAAGGTTTAGATATAACTATGTTTAATCTCAAGCATAATAGCTGGCACATAGTAAATGCCCAATAAGTAGAAATTATTATTATAATGCAGACTGGTTGTCCTACTCCTTCATGTCTCCCTTTGAATCCAATTGAAATAAGAACATAGAAACAGCTTCTTCACCCAACCACTGTCTGAATCCATTGCTTTCAAATATTTTCCTAACAACAATCCCACTCAATATTCTTATCTCTGGTTTCAGGACTTCACTCTTGCCACATACTCCTATAACCCTACCATGAAATAATCCCATCATAAAATCATTACCACCATTTCTATAAAAATGGAACTTCCATTTTGATAGCATATCATATTATCTGAGAAATTTAATGTTATAAATTTAATGTTTACAATTTGTAAAGATTAGACAATTAGTTAATTCAAAGATAAAATATGTAACTATTAAAGCAAGGTCAATGTCTTGGGCTTAATAAATTATTCAATTAGGATAAGATTCACTGTATATCACCAAAGGAAGGGCTTGTTATGGTTTAGATTTGGGTTTTCACTTCAAAGTCTGTGGGGTTTTTTTTGGTACTGGGGATCAAACATGGGTCCTTTTGCTTGCGAGGCAAGCGGCAGAACCACTGAGCTAAATCCTCAGCCCACCTCAAAGTTTGATATGTTTGTAAGGTCCTTGGATCATGGGGGCACAGTAGATTAGTCCACTGATGAGTTCATGGCTGATTTGCTGTTAGGGCTTGGTTAGAGGTTGGGCCTGAGGGGATGTGATCTCAAAGGCTATATTTCCATCCCCAACTCCTCCTCTCTCACGCTGCTTCCTGGTTGCCATGATGTGAGCAGCTTTCTAGACCCTTCCTCCATGCTGTTTCTGCCTTGGAATCAACTAAACAGGAACTGCAACTATAAGCCAAAATTATAAGTGTCAGCCACTGTGTCTCAGTAACAGGAAAATAACTAAGACAGAATTGTGGTACTGACAGTGGGGCCTTTGCCATGACCATACCTCATCATGTGGTTTAGAAACTTTTGGAACTGGTTCTTGGGGGAGGGGGAGTTGGAAAGCTTTAGAGATGCTGCCTACAGAAGCTCTGGAATGCTTTAAGCCTAGCTTGATGAGAGATTCTAGTCAAAGTTCAGAAAACTAGATTGCGGAGAGAAAGGTGAACAGTAAAGTTCAGGCTCAGGAGGTATCAATTGGGAACAAGAACTCCATTGGCAGTTGGATTAGAAGGACTGTGTGTTACACCCTGACAGAAAATGTGTCTACCTTTTGCCCATGTCCTGAGACTGTGGGAAATTGAGATTAAAAGTGGCAGACCAATTAATATAGGAAATTTCAAGGCACCTCAACATGCAGGCTGTAGCATGGATACTGCTTGTTGCTTTTAGCAAAATCTACAGTGAGAATCAGGAGCAAATGGCAAAGTTAAATGATTTTTAAATTTTTCAGTTTTGCCAGAAAGGACGAGCCTGCAAAATTGGTGTTTTGAAGAGTATCGTTGCTAAAAAGATAGTATGTAAAAAAGGCTAGGTACTTTGGAGGAGGACAATAGGAAAGATGCTTTGAGGACATCTCAGGAATCACTAAAACCCCACCTTTCACAGGATTGAAGGTGCAAAAGTTAAAAGATTTTCCTTTGAGAAGAATGCCCCCGGGGCATCCTGCTTTAGAAGGGCCACATAAAGAATTGGTTACCTAGGATTTAGTTCACAGAGCTCAGACTTTTAGGCACTTGGAGGCCTCAACAGTCATGACTGAGCTAGTAGCAGTTGTTGGCAACATCTATGTGATGCTGGTTTTACATGTATATAGAAGGCAAGAGTTTTGAGGTCAAGGAGGCTTCCACCCAGATTTGAGAAGAAGGCCTTGTAGGCCAGGCAATTTACCTCTGAGAAGGCAGTGCTGAGAATGTAAAGCTGAGAGTACAATAGAGACCTAGGAAGTTGGAGATGACAGGAATGTGCAATGTCTGCTGAGAAAAGTCACAAGCAGTGAGCAGACCCAATCCAGGAGAGAGGCTATGAGAGCTACAACCCAAAATGCCATGGCGGTGGGGCCTCCCAAGCCCTTGGAAGTTTACATCTTGCCCCAATTTGCCCTGGGTGCTGAACATGGACCTTCCTTCTGGATTTTAGTCTTGCTTTGGTCCCATTCTTTTCCATTACATTATTTCTCTCTGTTGGAATGGGAATATTTACCTTGTGTGATTATAGGTCAACAGCACTTCATTTTCTTTTTTATTTTTACAGGGGCTCACAGTTAAAAGTTTTCCTTGAGTCTCAAAGGAGACTTTGGATTTAGACTTAAAAATCAATCCTGGCGCTGGGGATTTAGCTCAGTGGCACTTCACTTGAGTTCAATCCCTGATACCAAAAAAATAAAATAAAATGAAATAAAACCAATCCTGGAACTGTTAAAACTTTGGTAACTCTTGGAGATGCACTAAATGCATTTTGCATAAAGAAATAGACATGAGTCTTTTCAGGCCAGGAGCAAAATGTTACAGT